AAGATGAATTGATCACAGTTTCAGTCTTTTCTCCATCTGTGATGATGTTGTGTATTCAATGGTGAGAATTTGTGTTTTCTTGATGTTGAGCTGTACTCGATATTGAAAGCTATAGTCTTTTATTGTCTGCAGTAAGTCCAAAGGAGAATAGGACCTCATAAGTATTTGTTGAATAAATAAAAAAGACCCGGTGCAGTAGGGAGTCATGAGAATATTCTTCCTTTGTGGTTCTTAATTCCTGCACTGTTAAAATTTATTTACATTGAAACTCAATTTGTGTATAATAGAGTGGTGTTGGGTTTTTGTTGTGGTTCTACCGGAGTATATATTTAGGATTTAAAAAAAGATTAATTTTTAAGTCTGTAACAATGTTGTGTGCCAAGCCAGAACTGACTCATAGCTGACCTTCCAGTGAGTGTTCGGAGGCAGGAAATTGCACAGGGGGAGATTGTCTATCCTTCTCCTGTGGAGTAGCTGGTGGATTTGAACCATGTGCCATTGAGATTTCAGCAGAGTTTCTTACCACTTGTCCACCTGAGCTCCCAGCATAGAGTGTGTTGTTGTCGTTAGGTGCTGTCGAGTTGAGTATGACTCTTAGCAACCCGTGAACAACAGATCTGAACCCTGTCCTATCCTGTGCCAACCCACAGCCTCTGACACATGAGCCATTGCTGCAGTCATTGTGTCTGGTTGAGGGTCTTCCTGTCCTTCACTATCCCCCTTTCTTTCCAAGCATGATGTCATTCTGCAGGTAATAATTTCTCTTAGCAACATGCCCAAAGTATGTGAGATGGGGCTTCACCATCCCTACCTCCAAACAGCATTCTAGTTTCACCTTTCCTAAGACATATCTGTTTGTTCTTTTGGCAGTCCATGGGATATTTAGTATTCTTCTTCCAACACCACAACTCAAAGGCATCAATTTTTCTTCTCTCACTCCTATTCATTATCCACCTCTGAGATTTGTAACAAGTAATTTAAGAGACAATAGTCTGCACCAGGGGCACCTTTGTCCTCAAAGTAACATCATTGCTCCTCAATAATTTGGAGACGTGCTTGACTGTAGACTTTTGCAGAGCAATATTTCACCTGCTCTCCTGACTGCTGGTACCAAGTATTGATTGTGGTTCCAAGTAAGACTAAGTTGTTGACAGTTTCAGTCTTTTCTCCCATCTATCATGATGTTGCCTGTTGGTCTAGTGGTGAGAATTTTTTTCTTTGATTGAGATGCAATCCATATTGAATTAGAGAGTGTAATGTCTTTAATTATATCCTAGAATCTAGAGATTCATGGGGAATGTGAAGTGGCAGTGGTGAACCTGGGTATCTGCTCTCTGAAAAGTACCTTCTATTCAAGCCCTAATTCTGTAGTTGCTGCTAGATGGATCATTCCTCCATTGGAGTCCTCCTGCTCCGTGGTCAAAGCGAGAGCAGTAGTGATATGCAGATTCTCTTCCTTGTTTGTGCCCTCCTGGTCGGTAGAATTGTCATAGCCATAAATAGAGGAGCACCCAGAACCTCCAGTGGTAAATTATAACCTTAATATCATACCTTCCATGTGCACTGAATACACTTGCCCATTTCTGGGGGGAGTCTCAGCCGGCAGTGATGATTGTTGCCATGAGGTCAGGTCTTCTTGGTGTCTGTACCACCTCTCCTTATGAAGGCTGGCTGCTGTGTACACCAGTGGAAGCTCATTGATTTCAATGTTGTGGAAGCCATGCTGGTAAGTGATTGCCTTAGCTACTGTGTGAGTATCAGCTGTTGAGCCTAAGAGGCAGCAAAGCATTTGATCATGAAAAGGGTAGCAGCCTTTGAATTGGGTTTGAAGAAGGAATAGAATTATGATCATTGTTGTTAGGTGCTGGTTGAGTTGGTTCTAACTCACAGTAACCCTGTGTACAACTCCCTTAAGCTGCCTGATGCTTTGTCACCCTCAGTTGTCCCTGTATCTGAGCCCCTTGTTGCACTTCAGTGTTGTCAAGTTGGTCTTGACCCATAGATCCCTATGTCTGACAGAATAAAACTCTTCCCCAGTCCTGCGCTGTCTGCATGTTGCCGCTATGCTTGGCCCATTGCTGTAACCACTGTGTCAGCCCATCTTGTTGAGCATCTTTTTTGTTGATCCCTCCACCTTACTAATTACGGTGATCCAGCGTTTGGCCCCTCCTGCTAGTGTGCCTAAAGTATAGCAATTTCCCTCAAATTAGAAAAGAATAAGGGATATTTGACAATGGTGTGGCAACATATTACTATTAAATTTGTGCAAATATACTTCTGCCTCTGTATATGCAGAAAAATGATGTTGTAAGATGCAGTTGTGTTGATTAGGAATCATAGCAACTCATTGTACAATAAAATGAAACGTTGTCTGGTCTTGTGCTGTCCTCACAGGCATGTTTGAGCTCATTGTTGCAGTCACTTTATCAGTCTGTCTTCTTAAGGGTCTTCCTCTTTTTCACAGATCCTCTACTATTAAAAAGAACCTTCTCCAGGAACCTGCCCCTCTTGATAACATGTCTAAAATATGTTTCTCCATCCTTTTGGCTGCACTTCTTAACAAGAGTCTGTTCTTCTGGCAGTTCCTGTTATATTCTGGCAGTCCGTGTAATATTCAGTATTCTTTCATTGCCAATACTACATGCAGTTCAAGGGATTTAATTATTCTTTCATCTTCCTTACTCACTGTTCAGCTTTCTCATGTTTATGATGTGATTGAAAATGCCATGACTTTGGTATAAAAGGATTAATGGAAATCAGAATTACAGGGAGGGAGTGAGAAAAGTGCAATTACATTGTAGGTATTAAATGAAACCTGTAAAACAAAATGTGTATGAATGGATGAATGACAAATTAATGTGCTCTGTAAACTTTCACTGAGATCAAAGTTAAAAGAAGAAAATACCATGGCTTAAGTCAGGTGCACTTTAGTCCTCAAAAGGAAATCTTTGTTCTTTAATATTTTAAAGAGGTATTTAACTGCAGATTTGTCCAATGCAAATCCATCATTTGATTTCTTGACTACTGCTTCTATGAGTTGATTGTGGATCCAAGGAAAATGAAATCCTTGACCACATAAGTCTTTTTTTACCCCACTCCCACCCTGCCCCACATTTATCATGGTTCTGTTGTATGGATTTTTATTTATGTTAAGGTGTTATTCATATTGAAGGATATTGTCTTTGCTTTTCATCAGTAAGTCCTTCAAGTCCTCTTTACTTTCTTTCAGCAACCAAGGTTGAGCCATCCACATACTTCAGGGTGCTAATGATTTCGTCTCCAATCCTGATGTCCTGTTCTTTGTATAATTTCTAGGATTGTTTGTTAAGCAAATAGACGGCATAAGAGAGGGGAAAGGATGCAATCCTAGCACATGTTGTTGTTGTTGTTGTTATGTGCCATCCAGTAGCCTGTGCCTCATAGTAACCCTATGTACAACGGCTCTAAACTGCTCTGTCCTGTGCCAGTCGCACCATCTCCAACACACCCACCTTAATTACCCCAGTCACTGAATCAATCCATCTCATAGAGGGTCTTCCTCTCCTGCGCTGTCCCTCTACCCTCCCAAGCATGATGTTCCTCTCTAAGGACTGGTCCCTCCTTGCAACATGTCTGAAGTATGTTAGACGAAGCTTCAGAATCCTTGCCTCCAAGGTGCAGCCTGGTTTCACCCTCTCCAGGATGAACCTGCTTGTTCTCCTGGCAGTGAATGGTATGCTCAATACTCTTTTCCAGCACCACAGCTCAAAGGCATCAATTCTTCTATCCTTCCTAGTCATTGTCAACTCTCTGATGCATAACAAGTGATTGGAAAGACCACATGGCCTGTAACAGATGCACCTTAGTCTCCAGAGTGACACCATTGCTCTTCAGTACTTTGGAGAGGTCCCTGACAGCAGACTTCCCCAGTGCAATATATTTTTTAATTTCCTGGCTGCTGGTGCCAAAAGTGTTGACTGGGGAGCCAAGCAAACTAAAGCTGTGAGCAATCTCAGTCTCTTCACCATCCGTCCTGATGCTGCTAATTGGTACAGTGGTGAGAATCTTTGTCTTCTTGACATTGAGCCTCAATCCATATTGAAGGCTGTAGTCCTTGACCCTCTGCAGCAAGTGCTTCAGGTCCTCCTCAGTTTCAGCAAGCAGGATTGTGTCATCTGCATAACGCAGATTGTTGATAGATCTTCCACCAATCCTGACGCCACATTTCTCCTCATAGAGCCCAGCCTCCTCGATAATTTTTTCTGCATACAGGTTGAAAAAGTATGCAGACAGGACACATCCCTGGCATACACCCTACATCATACAGGTTGTTAATGAGTCTCTCTCTGATCCTGATGTCACATTTTTCATAAAGTCCAGCTTCTTGAGTGATTTGTTCGGCATACAGATTGAACAGTTGTGTACTTTATTCAATGAACTTTATTCAAGTTTTTTATAAAGTCTGTTTTGCTTAGGGTAAAGCTTTGCCATCTATACCTGTAACAAAAAAAAAAAACAACCCCAAAACCAAAAACACCACCAAACTCATTGCAAAATAGAATTAATTATGACTTAAAGGACCCTATAGAACAGAGTTGAACTACTCTAGATGGTTTCCAAGACTGTAAATCTTTATGAAAGCAGCCAACTGCATCAGTCTCTTCAGAGTGTCTCTGAGGGTTAGTGATAATTGAAGTTCTAAACAGGACTCTTTGCTGGCACCATAGTTTTGTTTTGTTTTTGGGTTTTTTAAAATAAATGTAACCTTAGAATTAGTATGTACTTTTCTTTAGAATTCTTTTTACACATAACAATTGCCTTATTTCTAGGTATAAAAATTAAAAATAAAAATTTGTATTTAAAGGAAATTACAATCTACTTTTTTGTTCAGTTTTGGTCCCTGAATGTGATTAATACTAATCTTATTTTTAAAAAAGTAGTTCTTTAATGACTGATCTGAAGTTTATCTTTGTGCTATACCATGCATTATAGCCTACCTTTTCCCTCCTTCTTTTTAACAGATTTGTTTGAAAATGTCTGTGAGTCTTCAGTGAAGAAAAGAGAACTTGAAGGTTTGAAGGATAATGTTGAATTCAGAGATCATAAACCATTTACCAGCATAACGGTTTCAAAGAAACGTAACTGGCTGTATCAGAGTAATCTGAAACCCCTTAATCTGGAAGACTGTAAGAAACATCAAGATATAAGTAATTTGTCCATTCCTTCTGTCTCTCTGCCTAAGCATCAGCTGTCACCAGCATTCCCCAAATCGTCTGAAGAATTTTGTACATACGTGATGTCTAGTGCTACAAACTCTTCAATATCCAGAAACTCTTTAGATTTTAATGAGGAGAACGATGCAGATGATGAAGGAGAAATCTGGTACAACCCCATTCCTGAGGATGAAGACCTTGCCCCTAGTTTTGGTGAGGCAAGCCCTGCTGTTTTAAAACTTCCTGCTCTCGGTTTGAGAGTCTTAGCTAGTAGTGACCCGACCAGAGCAGAGCAGAATACTGAAGAATTGCCATACTCTTCTGAACACACAGGTGATGTTCAGGCCACACATCCAAATGAAGTTAGTTCTGTAGATCCCGTACAGCAATATAAGCAAAGGCTTAGACATAAAACACCAGAAAATATGATGGTGGAGGACAATGTGATGATGAAATCTCCCACTGCAGGTAAATATAATTATGTGTCAGTTTTTCCCCTTCCAGTTTTGAATTCTTTAAAAGTACCTAAAACTAAGTATTACTTAAGCACAGCAGAGATTAGCAGAGATGGAGATGAAGCAAGATCCTGCCTTGTTTGTTTCTGTTTTACATAGAGTTGCTATGAGTTACAGCAAGTTCAATGGTACCTAATAATAGCAAAACTAAATATATAAGTGGCCTATTGTGTTGATGTACTTTTCATTCTAAAATGAATATATTTTTTTCCACAGATAGAAAATGCTCAAAAATTTACAATCATTTTTATATAGTTGGTGATTTAATTATTCCTATTACAAACTTTTCAATTAGCAAAAAATTAGAAGCAGGAATGGCATCCACTTCCTAAACAACATACCTCTGGAGACTATAAACTTTGATAAATTAAGATAGCTATAGAAAGGCTTCAGGCCTTTTGTTCATAGGGTCATTATGAGTTGTGCTGTACTTGATGGCAATCAACAACTACAACAACATCACAAACTTTGTTTCATAATCTGCCATGCTTTACCATATTGATCCTTTAAAATAGTAATTCCTTTTAGTTGAAAGAATGGAATCAAAAGGTGTAAAAGAGACAAGTCCTTTATTTAAAATCTTCCTTTATTTCATTCTTTCATTTAAATTGGGCCTGGTATAATTTCACCTGCTGACCTATTGGTCATATTATGCACTACATCCTCTGGCTCCTTAATGATAACAGTATACTGTCCTACCTGGGAGTAAAAGAAAAAAGCCACCAGTAGCTGACAGGAATTGGGACCTGACTATTGCAGCTTTCTTACTTCTTGGGTAGGATTTGTAGGATATTTCTGAGGCAAGTATTCCACATTGTTCCTCCATTTTCTCACTGTAGTTGAGTTGATTCTACTGCGGGATTTGAACCACTGGCATCCTGAGGCTCTATAGTTAGGAGCAAAACACAGTTGTAGGGACTACCCCACCAGATCTGCTACATTACTTTTCTTGAATTTTCTCATCCCTTTGCTGGTGCTGCTTGTCCTTGTGGGTAAAGAGCTTCATCTTAATCCTTTTCTCAGGGACATTTCAGCATTCAGTAAATATATTGCTAAAAGAAAACTGAAGTGGATGCCATATGATGTAAAAGGAATACTAAAAAGTTGTATTCAAAACCAGAACTTTTTAAAAAAAATTATAGAATTGTTTAGACCAGTAAACTAGTAGAATTGTATTATTCTTTGTGGTACAAGAGAATGCTTTGTTCATGTTATCAAACACTCCATTTCTTATTCACTACTTACCAAAAAAGCCTAGCAGACATACTTAAAATAGTCCTTTCTCTATAAAGAAACCACTTGTCGTTAGGACATAGAAAAGGGTGTGGGGAAATGTTGTAATAATACTTTAAAGAGGTCATTTAATTTTTTATCTTGTATAAAAAGTTTTTTTCATTTTAATTGTGAAATAAAGGGATAAATATGCTAGCCTTTGATAGTGGGGTCAGCAGGGAATTCCTCTGTAAGAACTAGTTAGACAAAAAATGAAAAATTACTTTAAATTTCACATAATTAGAATAATACTAGATTGTTTTTCCTTATAAAATTTTTTAGATTGTTTTTCTTTAAAGTAGTAGTTTATATAGTACTAGATTTTAGAACAGATTTTCTTTTTACTTTATTAATTTTCAGGATTAATGGATGAAAGTTCATATTTTATCATTAATTGATTTGTTTGTACATGTATTTTTTAACTAGGATGGGTAACTATTTGATTTCTTTTATGAAAAATATAGTATATTTATTCAATGAAGGCCTACACAGAAATTTATGTTCCCATTCAACAATTTCTACACTGTTTGTTTATTGACACTGGTTATGTCCTTCACAGTATATGGACGTTGTCATTTCTATCTAGTTGTTTCGTTTACACAGTTTGATTTTCTAATAATTGAAAGAAGTCCTTAAAAACACTTTTTTGGGACAGAGTACTGTTTAGAAAAATAGGTAGGTTGAAAGTTTTATTGTTAAGTGTCCTCGAGTTGAGTACAACTCATAGCGACCCTATGAACAAAAGATCTGAACCCTGTTCTATAACTATTGTAGTTTCTATACTGTTCAGAGTTTCCAAAGGCCTGTTGTTTAAGAAGTGGATGCCAACCCTGCTTCCAAGCCTGTTTTAACCTGGGATCTCTACCAAACCCTGTCCTCCATGGGTAACCATTATTGTATTTGATACACCAATGGTACAACATTCAGTATCTCAGCAACCTGAAGTTATGTCAGTACTGCAAACTGACAGGCCAGTACTACTTCTAACAATGTTCTTCTCAAACACAATTAACATGAGGCGCAGACCCAGGCCCAACCGAATTTTAAATGCAAAGGCCCCCCACCAGTAACAAGAGGCTTTCAGCCCTTAGCTGATAAACCAGGCAACCAATCAGCTTACATACCATTGTGAATGAAATAAAAACTAAAAACGACACCCCAGACTGGACCAGTGTCCACCCAGCTTTCAACTAAATTAAGAGAACCTACCCTCCAGAATCCATCAGCTTCACACGTGAGCCTCCAGACTTAATTGAAAGTGTTAGTTGTTGTTAAGGGCGGTTGAGTCATAGGCGACTCATAGTGACCCTATAAATGAAAGACCTGAGCCCTGTTCATAGAGTTTCCGGAGGCAAGCTATTTTGGAAATGGATGCTGCTCCTGCTTCTAAGCTTTTTTTAATTGGGAAACTCCAGCAAACAATGTCCACCATGGGTAACCATTATCACGTTTGGCACATCATTGTCAACCAAAATATTTATCATGGTCAATCTGTAGGTCATGCAATTTAGGTTATTTATTTGTAGAAGTTTTTTTCTCAATAGGCTTGAATTATTTAGAGAAGAATAAAGCTGTCTAATGTAAAGTTTAAAAAAATGTAGAGAAAAGTTTAAAAATACTTGAAGGTGTTTACTCTTTGAAAATTGTTTTTACCCTTATATTGGTGTTTGTAATAGATTTCATTTATTTATTTATTTAGTTAGTTAGTTAGTTAGAAAATATTTTAAGAAAAGACTTTAATTTAGCTTTGAGAATCCAGGGAGCTATTATACGAATATAAGAAGAAAAGTATCTTACTACTTTTGAAAACAGTTTTATTAGATTTATGATATTCGGTATTCAGAATGACTGGAGTTTATTCTTTATAATTTTTGTTGATAGGCTATCATAGAATTTTAGAACAAAGAAGAGTTTTTAGCTATTAAAAAAAAACTTAGTTGGCTATTAACTATCTTTTAACCATCATTCTTTTGAAATAAAATCAAATGTTTAAAGGCTTATAAATGAAGATGAGACACACTTATTTTAGTATACGATTTCTAATTAAAATAATAATTTTAAAAAATAGATAATCTTTCCTATTTTCTCTGATAACCATGACCATATAAGGTTGTAAAGTAACAAGCCTGCTGAAGTATATTTTGGAGTAGAAAAGACTTAAAACGAACCTATTGCCTTTCATCTTCACAGTCTTCAGAGTAAAGAAATAGATAGTGAGGGAAATGCTTCTCTCCATTATGCACCATGAGAGATCGTTCATGTTATGCTTGAATCTGACATAATTTTCCTTTGAGATGAGTCAGGGAGAATCTGTCTTTGTGAAAGCTTGTTTAGTTGATATTATTTTAAAAAGCAAAATAGAGAATCACAATATCTCACTCGTAATATATTTCTTATTTTTTTCTCTCTTAAGGTCCTGGGATCCTAGCTACTACAAATAAGACTGAATTGGGTGTTGTAGAAACATCTTCTCCAAGCCCTAGCCCTGTGAAAAAAGGTGGTTCTATTAATTGGTCTTTCCCGGATAAAATAAAGTCCCCACGGACCGTGAGGAAACTTTCCCTGAAAATGAAAAGGTTGCCAGAACTTAGCCGAAAGCGGAGTGTTAAAGGAACTTTGAATTACACAAACTGTCCAGATAATGCTCCTCCTTTGTCTAAGTGTAACTATCACGACATTCATCGAACTGTCATTCTACCTTCTGGCAGCACAACCACTGCTGCCAAGAGGAATGTTATAAGCCGATACCATCTGGATAGCAGTGTATCTTCCCAGCACAGCTATCAGAAGAAAACCTCCGTGAATGCCAAGTATTCCTACAAAGGTGGCTACCTCAGTGATGGAGATTCACCAGAGCTTATAACGAAATCCAGGAAACATGGATCTGAAAACAAGTTTGGAAGAGGAAAAGAAGCTGTTCCAAATAGTTGTAGCAAAAATGAAATAGATATCGATGCTTTTAGACATTATAGTTTTTCTGATCAGCCTAAGTGTTCACAGTACATATCTGGACTCATGAGCGTTCATTTCTATGGAGCTGAGGATTTAAAGCCACCTCGCATAGACTCAAAAGATGTCTTTTGTGCAATTCAGGTAGACTCAGTAAACAAAGCAAGAACAGCTCTACTCACTTGCCGGACAACCTTTTTAGACATGGACCACACTTTCAACATAGAAATTGAAAATGCACAACATTTGAAATTAGTAGTATTTAGTTGGGAACCAACTCCAAGGAAAAACCGAGTGTGTTGTCATGGAACAGTTGTTCTCCCCACCTTATTCAGAGTGACAAAGACACACCAGTTGGCTGTCAAACTTGAACCGAGAGGTCTTATTTATGTGAAAGTGACACTGATGGAACAGTGGGAGAATTCTCTTCATGGACTAGATCTAAATCGTGAACCAGTGATATTTGGAGTTGATCTTCAAAAAGTTGTAGAGAGAGAAAATGTAGGATTGATGGTGCCACTGCTGATCCAGAAATGTATTATGGAAATTGAAAAGAGAGGCTGTCAGGTAGTACTTTACTATACCACTTCCTTTACTGTTTCTTAAGCCACAGTAAGATTTAGAGGAAGGAATTCAGGGTTAAAAAAAAAAAGAACTGAATCTGAACATTTTTTAATTATTCTTTATTTAATTCCATTAATGTTTAGAATATAATTAATAATCTACACTGTCAATTATAGCATTCCATATGGTTCCACAGTTTTTGTTGTTTAAATTTATTGATAGGGAGATATATGGGCCTTTATAAGTTAAGATTGTTTTACAGTGGCATTCCTAGATAAAGCCAGAGTTGGTAATGTTGTTTGGTGCGTCAACTCAACTACAGAGACCCTATGAACAAGCCTGCACCTTTCCCTGTCCACACTATCTTGATAATCTGGTATCCTTCTCGTTTAAGGTCTTCCTCTTCCTCAGATCCTCTGTCTTTCTCAGTACTATGTCTTTTTCCAAGGACTGAACCTTTCTGAGAGATGCCTTAAAGCACTCTGGTTGTTGTTCTAAGACAAGATTTGTTCTTTGGCAGTCCATGGGATATTCGGTCCTCTTCTCCAACACCACAATTAAAATACATTGGTTCTTAGCTGCTAGCCTTATTCATGAACCAACTTTCAGATGGATAGGAAGCAATTGAAAAGACTATTGTTTGGATCAGGTGTACCTTAGTCTCTAAACTGACATTTTTGCTCTTTAGTAATTTGGAGAGGTTTTTGAAAGCAAATTTCCGCATTGCATTGTCTTTTGATTTCTTGATTGCTTTTACCATGGGTGTTAATTATAAATCTAGGTAAAATGAAATCATTGACAACTCAATTCTTTTCTCCTTGAATCATGATGTTGTTTGTTGGTCCAATTTTTGTTTTCTTTATGTGAGTTTTAATCCATATCAAAGGCTATCGTTTTCGATCTTGTGCAGCAAGTGCTTTAAGTCGTCTTTCTACAGTAACGTATGTTAGAGCTAATGACGTATATTAAATAATTTAAGAAGTGTTTCTGCATAGTTTACCATTCCTATGGTAGAAAACTCCAAGACTGAATATTTTAGTCCCACTTTATTCCTAAAATTGCCTTCCTGTTCTTATTTTATTTAACCCCCTACTCTTTAGAAGTTTTAAGCTTATTTTTTCTCTTAACCTTTGAGATAGAATGAAGGTTGAACTGAAACTCCATTTTCTTTCCCTTTTAAATAAGAAGGCACCAGTAATCCATTAAAACAAATAACCTTGTATTGGTGTAGTGTTTGATGTGCTGTGCTTTTAACTAAAAGGCTGATAGTGTGAATCTCTGAGTTATGTTGACAGAGAAAGTTGGGCGATTCCCTCCCTTTAATAGTTACAGTCTTAGAAACTTAGTGGAGAGTCGCTGTGAGTTAGAATTGATTCACTGACACTGGATGTTCTATGTGTAGTAAGATAGTGAGTAAGGAGGATATGTAAATGGTAGCAATGTAGTGAACTTTATTTACTTATAAATGTGGACTCTAATAAGGAGAACCAGTATTATACTGAGAGTGTTCTTCTGAAATACAAGTAATTGTTTATACTCATTTGTGACACTTAAATAGACCTAAAAATCATTGTAGCTCAAACAGTCAGACTCACTGTAACTTAGTTGGCTCTGATTCATCGTGACCCTCATTGAAGCCCTTGAGGTTGTAATTTAATGGGAGGAAATTGCCCATCTTTCCCCTGCTTGGCCTCTTGATTACCAGAACACCATGATGCAGACTATGCCACCAGAGCACCTAAAAATTCATTGTAATATGAAGTATTTCTGCTCTAGTAGACTTTCAGAATTTACAGCACTGGTTAAAAAGATAAAAGACATTGGGAGAAAATCTGAAATAGAATTTATTTAAATGCAGAAATGGATTTAAAAGAATTTACTTTGATCTTCTCTCTGTCTTTTATCGTTTTAACCAGTGCTGTAAATTCTGAAAAACTGCTAGAGCAGAAATACTTCACATACAATGATTTTTTGTACTGACTGGAAGAGATCTATATTTGTTCCCATTCCAAAGAAGGGTGACCCAACTGAGTGTGGAAACTACAGAACAATCTCATTGATTTCACATGCAAG